AGGGCCTGGACCACAGGGGGGGGAGGGCGGGCCCGCCGGGGCGCAACCGTATATGCATATTAGGTACTTGGGTCCCTTTCGGTAAACTCTACATATCATACGATGAAACCCTATAACAGCTTATCAGAACCCCTAAACCCTAAACCCTAAAACACTACAACAAACGGAATGGGCCAAAGGTGACAACGGCGTTGGTGGCATACCAGGCTCGTGTCTGGTTATGTAAGGTCTTTTAGTCTTGTAAGTTTTGTCTAAAGTTGGATAGTTTCGTTGCACTAACCCTAAGGGTCCAAAGGACCTAATAATCATGTACTTGCGTTACGGAGAGTAGTTTTGTAGGTTTAGTATTCAGAAGAGTATGTGATTATTAGGTACTTGGGCCCTTAGGGTAATGACCCTGAACCCTAAACCCTAAACCCTAAGCCCCTAACCCCTAAACCCTAAACCCCTAAACCCTAAACCCTAAACCCCTAAACCCTAAACCCTAAACCATAATGACCCTAAACCCTAAACCCCTAAACCCTAAACCCTAAAAAGTGCAGAGGCTTCGGTGAGCTTTGAGGGTTTCTCGAAGAGTTTGGAGACTTAGCCAGCGGGGCCGCGCGGCAAGCATCGCCGTTGGGGTTATGGTACATATGGGTGGTTCCCTGAACCTTGAGGTTTAGGGTTTAGGGTTTAGGGTTTAGGTGGTACATATGGGTGGTTCTCTAAAATTAGGATCCCTTTTGGAGTCCTTTTTCCAAGGGTGCCGTACTATATTGGGGGACCTAAGAAGGGGACATATCCGCAGTTACCTTACCTTTATAAACACCCTAAGCCCCCAAACCCCTAAACCCTAAACCCTAAACCCTAAACCCCTAAACCCCTAAACCCTTTTCCAAGCCCTGGCGGACCATGTGCCCAAAATACTACTTATATGGGGACGACTTTGAGACCAAAGTATATGATACCTGAATCCATGGACTGTTAGGGAAAAACTCTGCTAAGCAATGTTGATGTAGGCCAAGAGGATGAGTCTGCTTACCTTTGGTTATTAGGGAATGGAGGAATGGGTACAATTATAACTACTATTACTACCATTCTTCCATTCCCTACTAACCAAAGGTAAGGCTAATTCAGCTTTGGATTTTAGTGGTTAGAGCCTTGACTAGTTTAGGGGTTTAGGGTTTAGGGCTAGTCTGCTTTCGAGGTTTTTCAGGCTGTCAACGGAGGCTTAGGTAGCATTAAGGATCCTAAACCCCCAAACCCTACCCCCTAAACCCTGAACCCTAAACCCTAAACCCTACACCCTACACCCTAGACCCTCAACCCTAAACCCTAAACCGTAAACCCTAAACCCTAAACCCTAAACCCTAAACCCTGAACCCGAATCCTGCTTGCTCTGGCAGGCAGGGGTGGTGCTGCCCCTTGCAGGCTCGGTGGAGATCAAGGAAGACTTTGGGGTTAGGGTTTAGGGTTTAGGGTTTAGGGTGTAGGGTTTAGGGTTTAGGGTTTGGGATTCAGGGTTTAGGGTTTAGGGTTTAGGGGAAACTTTGGAAGGTTCGAAGCTATGGTTTCAGAAGACAAAGGGCCCCAAGCATAGTCTCTAAACTAGTTAGAATAGGGTTTTGAGGGCTCTTTGTTGTAATCATCGCATAATTTACCCCCCAAACTCTATTCTAATTATTTTGGCCACTATATTACTTGAGGATCCTTGTAGCGAGGATGCTTAAGTAGGGTATCTCAAAGCCTAAGAAATGTCCACATGGTCCGGGAATGCTAGCTCAGCTTCGGTCTTCAATGGTCACAGAACATAGAGCTGAAATTGCAAGCCCAATGCATGCTCCAGTGATGGCCCCTGCAGCCCTGTCAGCTTTGCACCCAAGTCTGACATGCACTGCTAAGTACTGATTACGGCTTGCGTTGGGGGTCCGATGTGGTTTGTTGAGAGCTTTCTGTTACTTATTACAGGGCTTGTTCCCAACCACCCAAGTAGAACAGGTTGGTGGTCTGGCCACCTTAGATGGCGCGGGGTGAGTGTATGTTTGGCATGGCACTACATCACCAACATCATCATCGTCGTCGTTATGACCATCAGCACCTCCACAACAACCATCGCCAGCAGCGTCACAGCATCATCAACTCGAGCAGACCCTCGAACCCTGCGCGAAACCCCCTATTTACGATGTGTAGAATTTTAGTGTTTATCGTTTAATGTAAAACATGAACCCTAAACTGCCGCAAACCCCGAAAGCCCACAAAAGCTAAAACCGCAACCCCTAAGCCTAAGCCCGAGAGAATCGTATACTGATACTGCCGAGACCAAAATCTACACATGAAAATTCTAAACGCGTAAGTCCCTTGCTGCTGTTCCCTATTCCCGAAAACCGCGAGTCCCAGCCCAAAAGTCTGATGTAGGGTTTGGGTTTAGGGTTTAGGGTTTAGGGTTTAGGGTTTAGGGCTTAGGGTTTAGGGTTTAGGGTTTAGGGTTTAGGGCTTAGGGTTTAGGCTTACTAATGATGTTACTTCATAGTCCTTATTCTCATAAAAAAAACCAGAACAGATGGCAAAGCCGCGCCCTTTACCAGATCATCTTCGAAAAGCCCTTATAGACACCATTAACGGAACCCTCAAAAGGAACCCTATGCTGGTTATGATTGCCGATTTTCGAAGGCCCCCCCCAACAAGAGAGCCAACAGCATCCCAAAGGCAAGGCTGGGCGCTACCTGCCCCACGAGGTTGCTAAAGGGGTCCTAGGTGTCCCGGGGTCTGGGGGGTTCAAGGGTTTTGTAGGTCTCTTCTAAGGATCGAAGAGGTCTCTTAATGGGTCTAAAGGTTCTCTTAAGAGGTCTCAGGAGGTCTAGCCTTTGTTGGTTGGAGGGTTTAGCGCTTTAGGGTGGGGGTTTAACGGTTAAGGTTTAGGGTTTAGGGTTTAGGGTGGAGGGTGGAGGGTTTAGCGCTTTAGGGTGGGCTTCAGGGTTGGAGGGTTTAGGGGTTTCGGTGTTTCAGGGTCATCTTGCATCTTCCCTTGCTACACATTGAACCCCAAGTCCTACAACCTACTTACTACATTCCCGGAACATCAAGGAGTGTGGAACCGGAACGATACTAAAGCATCCTGAAGGCAGGAGACCCTAAACCCTAAGCCCTAAACGCTAAACCCTAAACAAAGAATCCTGAAGGCAGGAGAGCAGTGCAGGGTTGCTAGGGATCCTAAGAGAACCCCCACGGTTTAGGGTTTAGGGTTTAGGGCCCACACCCTCCCAGAGACTCCCAAACCCCTTAATTAAGGAATATATCTTAAATTATACTAGGAGCCCTAATAAGATTTAAGGTATATTCCTTAATTAAGGGGTTTTGGAGTCTCTGGGCTTATAGTACCTCATCAGATCCCTTGTAGGAACTTTTTAACCTTTTTTCTGAGCCCTTCTACACCCCTCAAAGGAAGGCTAGGGCCCTACTATAGACCCCTTATAAACTTATCCAACCCGTTTGAAGCGCCCCTGTAGGAACCTTGTAGAACCCCTTTGAAGAGCCTGTGTGGGAACCTCATAGAATCCTTACTTTCAAGAGCCCTGAAAGGAACCATTATAGCCTTGATAGCCTTATACCCCCCTCATAGGAAAATGCTAGATCCCGTATAGGAACCTTGTAGGCCCTAAAGGCCTTAATGGGAGCCGTGGTCAAGCATGAGATCGACAGTCTCTCGGCGATCTACTCGTGGAGGAACGGACTGATGGCAGTCGACTCTGCCGCATACGAGGCAGCGAATGCCTCAGACGAATCGTCGGCGGCAGTGACTAGGCTGACTCAGCACCAGCTGGTGACGAGGACGACATCGACGATCATGGACGCTCTGGTCGAGCTGGAGTATTGAGCTGACCACGGACGCAGGTCCTCCACGAGCTTCAAGAGGATGTACACTGGCACCGTCTATGGGGTTTAGTGTTTAAGCTTTAGGGTTTAGTGTTCATGTGGTTTAGCTAGCCATAGCCTTGGAAACAATTCAATGTAGTATGGCGACAGCAAACCCCAAATGCCTATGCCTTGACCGCTAGCCCCATGTTTTTCATTTCTGCTTGTTCCTGATTGGGACCCCCTGTGTCGTGCCCGAATGATAGGAGCATGCGAAACTGACCCAAAATGTTGCTTTCAGCGCTCTACTTCCGCATGTTTTAGAGTTTTAGATCTTGAGGTCTACTGCGGGAGTGTAGCAAAGCCAGGACACGGAAGAGGGCTTGCGGCCTAGGATTAGGGTTTGGGGTTTAGGGTTTTGGGAGTTGTAAGAGTGGTTGGTTTTTGGTTTACCGACCAAACCCAACCAAGAAGAGACTGTCACACAGGCCTCGTGGCAGGGGAGCGAGAGCAAAGAGGTGCCTGTTTGGCTTGGCGGCTGTAGCAAGTTGCAAAGTTGGGGCATTACAGGGGACAGAGTACCTGCCCTAGTGATGCTCTTACTGGCGTGCCTTCATATAGCTATACACAAGACTCACCAAAGTTAGCAAAGCTAAGTAATTAACATAATTAACATATATACATATACATATACATA